CTGACACACTCACCTTCACCCTGACCCATGCCACTGACACACTCACCTTCACCCTGACCCATGCCACTGACACACTCACCTTCACCCTGACCCATGCCACTGGGACACACTCACCTTCACCCTGACCCATGTCACTGGGACACACTCACCTTCACCCTGACCCATGCCACTGGGACACACTCACCTTCACCCTGACCCATGCCACTGGGACACACCTTCACCCTGACCTATGCCACTGACACTCACCTTCACCCTGACCCATGCCACTGGGACACACTCACCTTCACCCTGACCCATGCCACTGACACTCACCTTCACCCTGACCCATGCCACTGACACTCACCTTCACCCTGACCCATGCCACTGACACTCACCTTCACCCTGACCCATGCCACTGACACTCACCTTCACCCTGACCCATGCCACTGGGACACACCTTCACCCTGACCCATGCCACTGACACTCACCTTCACCCTGACCCATGCCACTGACACTCACCTTCACCCTGACCCATGCCACTGACACTCACCTTCACCCTGACCCATGCCACTGGGACACACTCACCTTCACCCTGACCCATGCCACTGACACACTCACCTTCACCCTGACCCATGCCACTGACACTCACCTTCACCCTGACCCATGCCACTGACACACTCACCTTCACCCTGACCCATGCCACTGGGACACACTCACCTTCAAATGTAAGACGATACGAGGGTCTCAGAGCCAAGACCAGTGTTCGTGTAGAGGGACCATCTCTCTGAGAGCCACTTGCGACACTTAAAGTTTGGTAGTTTATTCTTGATTAGGGAGGAAAAATAGTGAAGATAAGTGGCGGGTTTATTATGCATAATTTTTGGGCTCTTGTGGAATAAAACACGGACCGGCCACATCTGTGTACGTTGTTTCTTGTGTACGTTATTCAACCTCATTCATTACACTTGTTCCCCCACACTGTTTAGTCTTGTCTGGTGTTCTATCTTAGAACACGAGTCCATGGATAGGTGTTCCCTGGACGCTCCAGTGTGACTATCCCAGTGTGACTATCCCAGCGTGTCTAGCTTGAACACCTTCACTGTCATATTGAGGCCACTCTGTCGTTTCTCTTCACACATAAAGTATTTATTGAGTGACTTGGGGGTGAGACTTGTACCCAGAGGTGTCCGGGTCTTCCTCTATGTGTCGTCTGCTGTATAGTGTATGCACTATACACCAGATCACACTGCACTATACGACACGTGGCTCTATGCGCCACACTTCTACATCACACACCACACTTCACACTATACTTGGCCACACTACACATAAGATTCAACAAAACACTGCACTATACTACACTCCACTGCACCATACTATGCGCCACTGCACCATACTATGCTCTGCTGCACCATACTATGCGCCACTGCACCATACTATGCTCTGCTGCACCATACAATGCTCCACTGCACCATACAATGCTCCACTGCACCATACTATGCTCCACTGCACCATACTATGCTCCACTGCACCATACTATGCCCCACTGCACCACACAATGCTCCACTGCACCATACTATGCTCCACTGCACCATACTATGCTCCACTGCACCATACTATGCTCCACTGCACCACACAATGCTCCACTGCACCATACTATGCTCCACTGCACCATACTATGCCCCACTGCACCACACAATGCTCCACTGCACCATACTATGCTCCACTGCACCATACTATGCTCCACTGCACCATACTATGCTCTACTGCACCAATTAGCGTGGACGCAACACAACGCTCCGTTATCTAACAACGCCCAGATTTATGGGTTGTGTGTGAGGTCCGGTCTCTACAATGTATAGAGAACGGCAGAATAATTCTCTAGTTTTTTCGTGTTGATATTGCTGCCACTTTTTTATATATAAACACACACACACACACTGCTGTTATGTAGGTCTTTTTTAATCAATATTACTGTGTTTTTATTACTTTATGTGTTCAGTACAAGAGTTTTGTCCATGGTTTGATGTGATCTACTAGGATGGGTTGGGGGTAGGGGGGTATTGCCTCACTCTCTACCCTCCTCTCAACCTCAATTCCACCCCCCCCCCTTCTCTTTTCTCTCATACTCTCCTCATATATCCCCCTCTTTCCTGCCCCTCCCCCTTCTCTCCTCTCTCTCAACCCCATCTCCTTCTACCTACCCTTCCCACCCTTCCCTCTTCCCACCAGTGTGTGCCACACTACACTGTTCCACACTACACTGTAGCACACTACACTGTGCCACACTACACTGTGCCACACTACACTGTGCCACACTACACTGTGCCACTCTACACTGTGCCACACTACACTGTGCCACTCTACACTGTGCCACACTACACTGTGCCACACTACGCTGTGCCACACTACACTGTGCCACACTACACTGTGCCACACTACTCTGTGCCACACTAATCTGTGCCACACTACTCTGTGCCACACTACTCTGCCACACTACACTGTGCCACTCTACACTGTGCCACACTACACTGTGACACTCTACACTGTGCCACTCTACACTGTGCCACTCTACACTGTGCCACACGACACTGTGAAACTCTACACTGTGCCACTCTACACTGTGCCACACTACACTGTGAAACTCTACACTGTGCCACACTACACTGTGCCACTCTACACTGTGCCACACTACACTGTGAAACTCTACACTGTGCCACTCTACACTGTGCCACACTACACTGTGAAACTCTACACTGTGCCACACTACACTGTGCCACACTACTCTGTGAAACTCTACACTGTGCCACACTACACTGTGCCACACTACACTGTGCCACTCTACACTGTGCCACACTACACTGTGAAACTCTACACTGTGCCACTCTACACTGTGCCACACTACACTGTGCCACTCTACACTGTGCCACTCTACACTGTGCCACACTACACTGTGAAACTCTACACTGTGCCACACTACACTGTGCCACTCTACACTGTGCCACACTACACTGTGCCACTCTACACTGTGCCACTCTACACTGTGCCACTCTACACTGTGCCACACTACACTGTGAAACTCTACACTGTGCCACACTACACTGTGAAACTCTACACTGTGCCACTCTACACTGTGCCACACTACACTGTGCCACTCTACACTGTGCCACACTACACTGTGCCACACTACTCTGTGCCACTCTACACTGTGCCACACTACACTGTGCCACACTACACTGTGCCACACTACACTGTGCCACACTACACTGTGCCACACTACACTGTGCCACACTATGTGCCACTCTACACTGTGCCACACTACACTGTGCCACACTACACTATGCCACACTACACTGTGCCACTCTACACTGTGCCACACTACACTGTGCCACACTACACTGTGCCACACTACACTGTGCCACACTACACTGTGCCACACTACACTGTGCCACACTACACTGTGCCACACTACACTGTGCCACACTACACTGTGCCACTCTACAGTGTGCCACACTACTGTGCCACACTACACTGTGCCACACTACACTGTGCCACTCTACACTGTGCCACACTACACTGTGCCACACTACACTGTGCCACACTACACTGTGCCACACTACGCTGTGCCACACTACACTGTGCCACACTACACTGTGCCACACTACACTGTGCCACACTACACTGTAGCACACTACACTGTGCCACACTACACTGCGCCACACTACACTATGCCACACTACACTGTGCCACACTACACTGTAGCACACTACACTGTGCCACACTACACTGTAGCACACTACACTGTGCCACACTACAACACAGCACAGGTTAGCGACGCCGCCTCAAGTGTAATATTCACTCCAGAAAATACTGTAGTTTCTTGAAATTGAGTGAAGAAATGTTTAGGTGGTGGAGGTGAGCCTGTGGAGTGCGCCGAGTGCTCTCGGCTGGGGCCGGGGAGCAATTACACTTGACTTTAATATTTTAACATATATTTATGTGTTTAAATAGATTAATGAGAGTTGAATTACTCTGTGTGTGTGTGTGTGTGTGTGTGTGCGTGCGTGTGTGTGTGTGTGTGTGTGTGTGTGTGTGTGTGTGTGTGTGTGTGTGTGTGAGAAGAGTTATCACTGCTCTCTTCTGCGTCTCTTTTTGTTCTATCTTCTCGTCTTGCTCCTTCATTATTTTATTATTTATCTTACTGGCTTCTCTTCTGCATCAATTTATTTATTGAAAAATGTTGATTTACCTTCAATTTTGCTTTGTTGCTTATTTCCCTATACCTCTTTGCAAATATTATTCGTCTTCCAAATTTTTCTCCTTTTCTTCCCCCACTTTTTCTTTCCCTTCTCTTCCTTTTCTTTCCTTCCCCCTTCCGTTTCTTCCCCACTTCCTTTCCTTCCCCTCCACTTGTCCTACTTTACGGTCTGTGGTCAGCTTTAAGCTTAGAGCTTTTTTGCATTTTAAACAATAAATTACATTTCCACTGGGTAATATAATATTCGTGTGGCTCTTAAGGCTGGAGAGAGAGAGAGATGCAAGTTTGAACAGGTAAATACCGTGATCCAGCAGCTTATCGGTGCAAGCATGTTATATATACATAAATAAGCAGCTTAAACGGAAAAGACATGAACTCTGTCTTATGGCGTGTGAGGTGTGGGAGTCTTATACACTGGGAGATGAAGTGATGTTTCCAGTTGTATATAGAGTATATATAGCGTATATAACTATACGCTTCTCGGGGTATATGCGCTGAGAAGTTTATACCGCCGGAGGCGGCTAGTTTATTGTGCACCCCATACTCATCCTGTGAGCGGTAGCGCAAAAAAGCATTAGAGAGGGCACAAAACGTCTTTATCAAACCTCAACGGAGATTATTACATAAACAATTTCATCTATCCTTCACACCTTATAGTTACAATGTCAGCTAGTTACAGAGAATGTTCTATTCCAAGAGCTATATATTTACAGTAAGTCATTATATACATTAATGGAAGGTCTTATCGCCGATATTTGTACTCTCAAGGGGATTTATTCTTTGTTTGCACTATGGCCACCAATGGTCTCTGATTGTGGTCTCCTCCTGTGGTCTCTGTCTGTGGTCTTTGTCTGTGGTCTTTGTCTGTGGTCTCTGTGGTCTCCTCCTGTGGTCTCTGCTTGTGGTCTCCTGTGGTCTGCTTGTGGTCTCCTGTGGTCTCTGCCTGTGGTCTCTGCCTGTGGTCTCTGTCTGTGGTCTTTGTCTGTGGTCTCTGCTTGTGGTCTCCTGTGGTCTGCTTGTGGTCTCCTGTGGTCTCCTGTGGTCTCCTCCTGTGGTCTCCTCCTGTGGTCTCTGTCTGTGGTCTCCTGTGGTCTCCTGTGGTCTCTTCCTGTGGTCTCTGCCTGTGGTCTCCACCTGTGGTCTCCTCCTGTGGTCTCCTGTGGTCTCCTCCTGTGGTCTCTGCCTGTGGTCTCCTCCTGTGGTCTCCTGTGGTCTCCTCCTGTGGTCTCTGCCTGTGGTCTCTGTCTGTGGTCTCCTCCTGTGGTCTCTGTCTGTGGTCTCCTCCTGTGGTCTCCTGTGGTCTCCTGTGGTCTATTCCAGTGGTCTCCTGTGGTCTCTGTCTGTGGTCTCTGTCTGTGGTCTCTGTCTGTGGTCTCCGCCTGTGATCTCCTGTGGTCTCCTCCTGTGGTCTCCTCCTATGGTCTCCTCCTGTGGTCTCCGCCTGTGGTCTCCTGTGGTCTCCTCCTGTGGTCTTCTCCTGTGGTCTTCGCCTGTGGTCTTCGCCTGTGGTCTCCTCCTGTGGTCTCCTGTGGTCTCCTCCTGTGGTCTTCTCCTGTGGTGTCCGCCTGTGGTCTCCTGTGATCTCCTGTGGTCTCCGCCTGTGGTCTTTTGTGGTCTCCGCCTGTGGTCTCTGCTTGTGGTCTCCTCCTGTGGTCTCCGCCTGTGGTCTCCTGTGATCTCCTGTGGTCTTTTGTGGTCTCCTCCTGTGGTCTCTGCTTGTGGTCTCCTCCTGTGGTCTCCTGGGGTCTCCTGTGGTCTTCGCCTGTGGTCTCCTGTGGTCTCCGCCTGTGGTCTCCTGTGGTCTCCTGTGGTCTCCGCCTGTGTTCTTCTCCTGTGGTCTCCTGTGGTCTCCGCCTGTGTTCTTCTCCTGTGGTCTCTGCCTGTGGTCTCCTACTGTGTTCTCCGCCTGTGGTCTCCTGTGGTCTCCTCTTGTGGTCTCATGTGGTCTCCTGTGGTCTCCTCCTGTGGCCTCCTCCTGTGGCCTCCGCCTGTGGTCTCCTGTGGCCTCCGCCTGTGGTCTCCGCCTGTGGTCTCCTCCTGTGGTCTCCTGTGGTCTCCTCCTGTGGTCTCCTCCTGTGGTCTCCTGTGGTCTCCGCCAGCGGTCGTCAGACTATACAGAAGTTGCTGATGGAGTTAAATGATCAAGTTAAATCAGACTAATTGTTAAAAATCTGTGATGAACGAAAAGGTTAAATTACCTTTTATTTGAGCCCCAAACAAGACCATATTTCCCCCTACACGGCCGTTTTGGGGTATTTAAGGCATTATTGTTCCAGTGATTCGTTGTGCGTTGGGCTTCGGTGTCGACACACAATCCGGGGGATCCTGGGTTCGATTCCCGGGTGCGGCAGAAATGATTGGGGTTTCATACTCAACCTAATGCTTCTGTTCACCCTTGCAGTATTTCTTGCATCCTTCAGGGTCAAGGTTCGACCCTGAAGGGGGGAGGGGGATGCTGATGATTCCGGGGCTCAACGTCCCCGCGGCCCGGTCCCCGACTAGGCTTCCGGGACTGGTCAACCAGGCTGTTGGATGACAATACAAATCTAAAGTGTGTGTGTGGGTATACTCAACTATTTGTGCCTGCTTGATCGAGCTTCGACTCTTGGTTCCCGCCTTTCTAGCCTCGGGTTGTGTAAAGGAATGACTCGTGTCCTGCTTCACTATCATACCGGGTTTTAAAGTTATGAATAGTGTTTGCTTCCACAATTTGCTCCTTTAATTCATTCCATTTCCCCACACATTCCGTGTGTGTATTTACTATTTGTGTCTGCAGAATCGAGCTATTAGCTCTTGGACCCCGCCTCTCTAACCGATCTATTTTTCCTCTGTTATATCTACGACATATATTTCTCTCTAGCGCGCGCGCGCACACACACACACACACACACACACACACACACACACACACATCCTTAGGAAGCATCCCATAGCGGCTGTCTAACGCCCAGGTACGTATTTACTGCTAGGTGAACAGCGGCATCAGGGTGAAAAAAACTCTGCCCGGTTTGTTTCTGCCTCCCAATGGCCCGAACCCGGGCCATTGGGATTACGACCCCCGAGCATTGTCCACTCACCCGCAAGGCCCCGTATGTGTGTGTGTGCTCTCACCTAACTAATTCTTTCTAATGTCTCTATGGCTCATTTGGGTCTAGGTTTCCACCTGTGTTCCCTTGTTCGTGTCCCACCCGTGCTGAAGAATGTCTTTGTCCACCCTGTCAATTTTGTAGGTGGTGACTATGTCTTCCCCTTACTCATCTGTTTTCCAGGGACGTACGTGAGATTTATCTCACTTAGCCTTTTTACACTGCCTACGTGAGGCCAGTCTTAGAGTATGCTTTCTCATCATGGAGTCCCCATCTGAAGAAACACATAAGGAAACTGGAAAAAGGTTCAGAAGTTGCGACAAGACTCGTCCCAGCGTTACGAGGGATAGGATATAAAGACCGCCTGAAGGAACTGAGCCTTACGACACTAGAAAAAAGAAAGATGAAGGGGAATATGATAGGAACGTATAAAATACTTAGGGAGATTGACAAAGTAGAAATAGACGAAATGTTCACACGGAATACTAACAGAACGAGGGGACATGGGTGGAAGCTGGAAACTGAGATGAGTCAGAGATGTTAGGAAGTTTTCTTTTAGCGTGAGAGTAGTGGAAAATGGAATGCACTTAAAGAACAGGTTGTGGAAGCAAATTCTATTCATAATTTGAAAACCAGGTATGATAGGGAAATGGGACAGGACTCATTGCTGTAAACATCTATGGCAAGAAAGGCGGGATCCAAGACTCGGTGCTCGATCCTGCAGACACAAATAGGTGAGTACACATCCCCCCCGTCCTAAAGCCCATATCCGCCCCCCCCTCCCCCGTCCTAAAAGCCCGTTTGCCGTACAGCCGTGGAGCCCGCAGCCTGGTGAAGGGGGTCCACGCCCCCACGTCTCCCCATCATCGTGGGACGTGCGGTAATAAAAGTTGTTAAGATGCAAAAACTTTCGAAATTGCGGTGTGGGCGGTAATGGGTTTTGGAGGAGTTGTTTAGTGGTCTTATCCGGCCGTGCGGGGGTGTCTGATATCCGGCCTTCCGCCACGCTTATCTGGCTCTCCTCCCTTGGCCGGATTTCTTCCCCGTTCCCCCCCCCCCTGGCCCCCCCCTGGCCCCCCCCCGTTAGTTTCTCTTAACTATTTTTTTTTGTTTTTGCTACCCACCTGCTGACAGAATTACTCGGGTAATTCCTCCTGTCTCTCTTTTTCATTCCTCTGATCACCGCTCAAACGGGCCATGTCTCCTTCATCATCGATCATCATCCGTCCTCTCATGGCTCACTCATCCGTCCTCTACATGGCTCACTCATCCGTCCTCTACATGGCTCACTCATCCGTCCTCTACATGGCTCACTCATCCGTCCTCTACATGGCTCACTCATCCGTCCTCTACATGGCTCACTCATCCGTCCTCTACATGGCTCACTCATCCGTCCTCTACATTGCTCACTCATCCGTCCACCCATGACCCAGTCGCCCGTCCTCCCATGGCCCAGTGATCCGTCCTCCCATGGCTCACTCATCCGTCCACCCATGACCCAGTCGCCCGTCCTCCCATGGCCCAGTGATCCGTCCTCCCATGGCTCACTCATCCGTCCTCCCATGGCCCAGTCATCCGTCCTCCCATGGCTCACTCATCCGTCCACCCATGACCCAGTCGCCCGTCCTCCCATGGACTAATCATCCGGCTGAAGCTGTTTCACCACACTTCAGCGAGAATTGTAAATTCGACATTTGACAAGGCATCGCTTCGTCGGGAGGCGACGACCCCTGGGAGTACTGCCGGAGGCTGCCGGAGGTTGCTGGAGGTTGCCGGAGGCTGCTGGAGGTTGCTGGAGGCTACTGGGTGCTGCTGGAAGCTACTGAAGACTGCTGAAGTACTGCTGGAAGCTGCTGGAGGCTGCTAGAGGCTACTGAAGACTGCTGAAGTTCTGCTGTAGGCTGCTGGATGCTGCTGGAGGCTGCTGAAGTACTGCTGGAGGCTACTGGAAGCTGCTGGAGGCGGCTGGAGGCTACTGAAGACTGCTGAAGTACTGCTGGAGGCTGCTGAAGTTCTGCTGGAGGCTACTGAAGACTGCTGAAGTACTGCTGGAGGCTGCTGAAGTTCTGCTGGAGGCTACTGAAGACTGCTGAAGTACTGCTGGAGGCTACTGGAAGCTGCTGGAGGCGGCTGGAGGCTACTGAAGACTGCTGAAGTACTGCTGGAGGCTGCTGAAGTTCTGCTGGAGGCTACTGAAGACTGCTGAAGTACTGCTGGAGGCTACTGGAAGCTGCTGGAGGCTACTGAAGACTGCTGAAGTACTGCTGGAGGCTGCTGGAGTAGGCGGGTTGTAAGGGATTACAGACGTAAACACGCGGCAAGATTATTTAGCAAGATTAAATTGCATTGTAAAGGTAATATCTTAATGGTTACGTTGAAATATTCCTTCCCCGTTATAATACAGGACAATGAATCCGCCGTATTGTTTGGAAAGATTTATTTTCGATATTGGTAAAATTTATTCAGAGTTATGCAAAATTATATATATAAAATATATATAATTTATATATATAAATATATATAAATATATATATATATATATATATATATATATATATATATATATATATATATATATATATATATATATATATATAAGCTGTATATATATACAGCTGCTGAGATTACACATCAATGTTAGATCACATGTGGATAATACGTTTGCGATTCTGTATGAATAATTGATGTGTGGAAAGTTGAATTAGTGATTTTTTTCCGGGGGACGGGGGGGGGGGGAATGATTAATTTCCAATCGAGTGGCGTGATCAAATCTACGATTGTGTGATGAATTTTTTTTGGTGATGAAGTTCTATGATTAATTTGAGATGACGCAGTGAGATTAATTAGTCGTTACGCGACAAGTTACCACTCGATTATAAGGTAATATTAATGTTGTGATTAGGTAGAGGAGATCAGGTCGGTGTTTACACTGATTAGGTTGAGGAGATCAGGTCGTTGTTTGCACTGATTAGGTAGAGGGGGATCAGGTCGTTGTTTACACTGATTAGATAGAGGAGATCAGGTCATTGTTTACACTGATTAGGTCGAGGAGATCAGGTCGTTGTTTACACTGTAACGTTCAATGGCCTCGCCAGCCGACGATATTTTCACCTGCTTGAAGAGTCTGGTGAAGTATATCACTGTTGGTATACTATGGTATACTATACAATATACTATGGTACACTATACTATATAAGCCCGGCTATATGACCAGCGAGTCTCAGCAGGTGCCGGACACAAAGAGCAGAAACTCTGCGAGGTCCTAATATATATATATATATATATATATATATATATATATATATATATATATATATATATATATATATATATATATATATATATATATGATCTTTGAAGAGATGACCATATTTTGCAGGACCTCGTTGTGAGTTTTCCGTCCAGGTAATCATTTCATTGGGTGAATGTAGCAGCAACAGTAGGAGACCAGCTGTTGGGTAAGGCAGCAACAGTGGGTGACCAACTGTTGGGTAAGGCAGCAACAGTGGGTGACCAACTGTTGGGTAAGGCAGCAACAGTGGGTGACCAACTGTTGGGTAAGGCAGCAACAGTAGTAGAACAACTGTTGGGTAAGGCAGCAACAGTGGAAGACCAGCTGCTGGGTAAGACAGCAACAGTGGGAGACCAGCTGTTGGGTGAGGCAGGAGCAGCAGCTGGTGCAACAGTATAGGTGGGAAGGGCAAGCCATGAGCATAATCCAGCCTTTAAGGGTTCACCTTCAGGCGGTGGACCGTCCAGCTCCCTGCAGCAGAAGAGATCTGTTGCCAAGTGCAGACGAGGAGTCACAATAACGTGACTGAAGTATGTTGACTAGACCACACACTAGAAGGTGAAGGGACGACGACGTTTGGGTCCGTCCTGGACCATTCTCAAGTCGGTTGTCGACTTGAGAACGGTCCAGACACAATCGACTTGAGAATGATCCAGTACGGACCGAAACGTCGGCGTCCCTTCACCTTCTAGTGTATGGTCTGGTCAACATCTGTTGCCAAGCACGCGATCGACTTGAGAATGGCCCAGGACGGACCGAAACGTCGGCGTCCCTTCACTTTTTAGTGTGTGGTTTGGTCAACATATTTCAGCCACGTTATTGTGACTCCTCGTCTACATAGAGTATTAATTATCCAGTGTTATCCACACCTCTGCGTGCAATGGGACGATAAGTCTGTAAATCCATATAATTTACTTCCTTGTAGTATCGTCTTCATATTAACGTTGAAATTCCTCCCTTATGGCTTTAATAATTTGGATTCCAGATGTACCCTTAAAGATATATATATATCTATTAAACTGTGAACACTGCTTTTGTTCTAAATGAACATTGACATATGAAGAAAAACAGCGTGTTTCTAATTTTATCAGTATTCACAATGCGTTTCGTTTTGAACACCCTATATTTATAGATGCAAATATCTATATATATATAGTTGTCAATATTTGCATTTACGGGAGCTAAAGCTTAGTCTAAACCCCCGATAAAATTAAAACGTTCTGTTGGAATACACAAGCTTAGCGCCCAACGCTTTTCATAAATGGAACGCTTAATACGAATTTATTACGTATATATATATATAATGTATATATGTATAAATGTGTGGGTGAGCGTTATTGAATAGGACCACTACAGTTAAGCCAATGGTTTAGTCACTACTCTCATTTATTTCTCATATATTCTTCATTTGGAAAGGAAGTTAGAAAGTTAACTCTCTCTTCCTCTCGTTATTTTCCCCCCTTATCCTACCCCCTCTTCTTTCTTTATCCCCATCTATCTTATTTATCTTCCTCTCTTCGACCGTCTTCGACCTACAGTGGTGAACATGGACTCAAATAACACACAGTTGCAGGCGGTCTCCACCCTGGGGAGTCTCCCGTCTCCCTGTGGACCAACACTAACATTATTTAAATCACTGGTGCTGTCCCGTCTTGAGTACTGCTCAGTACTCGCTTCCCCCTTCAGAGCGGGAGAGAACTCTGAATTATAGGGAATACAGAGAGCATATACGGCACGCATAGACACGATAAAACATTTAAATTATTGGGATCGTCTCAAAGCTCTCAAAATGAAATCTTTAGAAAGTAGTCGAGAGAGGTATAAAAAAATATATACATGGAAGATACTGTAGGGCCAGATCCCAAACTTGCACAGTAAAATAACAACATACTGGAGCGAAAGATACGTAAGGAAATGTAGAATAGAACCAGTGAGGAGTAGAGGTGCCATAGGCACATTCAGAGATCTCTGAACATCAGAGGTCCACGGCTGTTCAACACCCTCCCAGCAAGCATTAGGAATATTGCCGGAATAAAGGTGGATGTATTCAAGAGGCACTTAGATAAGATCTTGCAAGAAGTGCCGGATCATCCAGGCTGTAGTGGATATGTGGACATGCGGGCCGCTCCAAGTGGGAACGGCTGTTAACTTGGGCCTATTGGACCAAGATAATTCGAGCCTGGCTCCAGGCTGGGCTCGGAGAGGAGAAGAACTCCCGAAACCCTCCCCAGGTATGGTCCAGGTACACTCCTCCTTGTGCCACAGCCTCCCGGCTCCGTGTGGCTCAACATTCCCGCTACACCAGTTCAGTTTGCTTATCATGCGTCCCCGCCCCATCCAGTGGGTGGGTCTACACATATCTACATCTTGAGGTTATCTTGAGATGATTTCGGGGCTTTTTAGTGTCCCCGCGGCCCGGTCCTCGACCAGGCCTCCACCCCCCAGGAAGCAGCCCGTGACAGCTGACTAACACCCAGGTACCTATTTTACTGCTAGGTAACAGGGGCATAGGGTGAAAGAAACTCTGCCCATTGTTTCTCGCCGGCGCCTGGGATCGAACCCAGGATCACAGGAT